TCGATTAAGACTACTAAAAATTATGTATATTACAGTCCGAAAAATAGAATAGCGAACCTAGTAAATGATTATTGTTCCAGCATAAACTTCTTTGGGGGATCCACATCATCATTCTCGATACAGATAAAGAAAAATATACACAATAGATAATGTGTTATGTTTAAAATATTTATTACGAAGATTGTAAACACAATGGTATGATGTGATACTTACGGTTTATAATCTCAATTTAATTTAATTAATTTAATTATATGCACCGATTGGTTGTATTTAGAAATTGTTATAGTGTATTGGATGTGATTGTGCAGTGTGGTATATAAATTGTTACCTATATGTACAAAGCCGATTGGCATGAATAAGTAAGTAAATAGAGTTTCTAATATTCAGTTTCTAATAAAAAACATCAGGGCAGCTATACACTACACCACCACACCCCCAGTAAAATCCTGGTTGACCCACGGGCATGTTTATTGTAAGTAGTCTAACATTGGTTCACACTTGTCAGAGAGTATGCAACTGAATAGAGTATATTGTGCCATTTCATTACAAAATATTTTCAAAGACAAAATGTTCACAGGTCCTAATATTCAAACTATCGCCCTTACAAACTCTTAACTACAACTAAATGATCACAACTACCAAGAGTATATGAAAAGGTTGGTATTATTAATGCAATGAAGTAAAATATTTACACAAAAACTTTTAAGATTTTCAAAAACTTATTACGAGAATTTGAAGAATGAGTCAACAATTGCATTAAATTATAAAATACACTAGTAATGTAGCTTAAATATAAAATTCTACTTTAAAGGTATGAAAATAATTTTGAAAGTAATGTAATGATCAATGAAGTTTAATGCTTTCAAATATTCTAAAGGAAATATGTTGTTGTTGTTGTTTTCTCCATGGATTTTGATTTTCTAAATCCAAGTTGGTAATTTGGAACAGACTCATATTTCTGAGAAAGGTAACTATTTGTACATAGAAGAACCTTGAAGTTTTGAGAAAAAACATACAAAAAAATTGCTATTAATTTTGAATTCCATGTCCATTACCGATTTTGGAAATGTTTGGAATTAATCTTGGCAGTTTTGAAAATATTTTGAAGTATTAAGTTGCTTATGGATCCATTGTTAAAAGGTGTAATGGAAAGTGTGCACTGGGTGCTCACTTCATAACTCTTTATCAAACAATCTGGACATTCATATTAACTGGCTGATTTTTTTTTTATTTTACCAACAATTCTGAGTATTTTATTGAATGAAGTTTTGGAAACAAACATCATAATGAAATAATTTTGCAAACCCACTGATGAAGTTTAACTTTAAGCCTTTGGATCCTTCATGAAATCAAAAACAATTCTTGAAAACTTGGTTGTCAAAGCTAGCCACTATTGTCATGCACCTCCCTATCTATATCTTTTAGAACAACAATCTCAACACAAATTATAGTTGAAGTGTTTGTACTTTTTACTATGTTCCGCATTGCTCTAATTTTGATACTTGTGTTTGCAACATCGTGATTTCTATGATTTTCCATGATTTTCACCAGACCTACAACCATTCTTAAAATGAACTTTTATTTTCTGAAGTAGAAGTGCTAATCATTAATTCATTACAGTGTTTAGAAATGAAACGAAAAAATAATTTTATATTACAAGATTTACAACAATAAAAAACTTTGTTAGAAAAAAGGGTGTTAAATACATTCCATCTCTTTAATTTAGTAATGAAGGAAACTACCTACAACAACATTCACACTCATGGCATCACAAAAGATTATCAGTGTGATAGTGCACTCAGTGTGCAGGTTTGGGAGGTTTCCTCTGCATTGCTTTAGCCTTTTATTTAAACTTTCTTATGTGCAGCAATTTCTCCAATATAAAAATTCCATAGAAGTAAACTAAAACATTGGGTTAACTTATACATTCTGCAAATATTACGTTTTACAACACTTTGTGCAGTAATTAATTATGAGAAAAATGTTTCTTCAGGAGGGCGATGTTGATAGATTTCAATGCAGAAAAGATTTTTGATTGAACATTTGCTTTGGAATGGTGTTAAAGTCATTAAAATAAATAGATTCAATATTGCAAAGCACATTAAAGGCCATGTATGGATAAGAAGGTGAGTACTGTTATATTATTAGTTTTGTCAAATTATGTTATGTTATGAAACCACAATAGGTTTACAATCAGTATGGTCAAGTACTAGTTAATTCAAGTCAAGGTTTTAGGTCAGGGCAGATCACATCAAATTGAGATAAAAATGCCTAAACAAGATTTTCTTAAATTGGAGCTGCAAAGTTTTCTTTATATTTTTAAAGAATAAAGTAAAGAGCACTAATAAATATGGACTAATTTCCACTTCAATTAAATTTTGAAAATATTATAGGTTTAATTTTTTTCAAACCTGTCTTAAGCTTTTGATATTGAAGCTAATAAAAATTTTCTCCAGACAATCTATTCTGGTTCACAAGATTATTAAGTCATTTCAAGTTCACTTTCTTCAACTTATTTAAAGTTTTCATGTAATTTTGAGTTTTATTGTGAACATTTTCCAAAAATATCTGAACAAGATATTCTGAAAAAGACAATTTTTAGCTTCATACTTTTAGTATGGATAGACTACAATGCACTAAAACATATGACAGAAGCACTATTTTCATTAAAACTTCGGATTTTTCAAAAATTACATCTTCTAATTGCTCATGAACATCTTATAAGACATTAACTTTTAACATCATAGGTGTATTTAACACGAATGGATTTATGGACACAAATGATTCCTATGATCTATTATAAAATTTTACGAAAGTTTCATGGAAATATTTCCCTTCTTTTTTTTTATGCAAAAGTAGCTGTTTTATAGTCTCACGTCTTTACTTTGTATGAGCAATGGCTTGAATATCAGGACTGTCAAACTTTTTTTAGTCTTCAAACTTAATAATAATAAAGCATAATACATGGAATTCAATAGCAGAAGTGCTATTTTCATTAAATCTTCAACATTTATAAAAATTAAAGATGTACAAGTTTCTTCCTCGAATTTACATTACTTTGTGAAGTGAGTTTTTTCAAGATATTTTTGTAGGATGCAAGATAGTATTTCTTGTCTACTACAAATAATACAAAAAAGATTTGGTAATGTCAACCACTAGTTTTCTTTTGTTCATGTACGCCAGAATTACAATTATTATCTAGTTCTGCTTTAAAAATGAGCACATGAAGATGCTATACAAATTATGCTAACAAAAATACAAAATGCTACACTTGGCAAGCAACATCCTTTAGGTACCTAACTTTGAACCAAATGTTTTAATATAGATTTTTTCCCCCCTTGCAATATCGATTCATGAATTTTTAATGGACACCGTCAAATGGTAACATTAGAAAAGAGGAAACAGATTTGGCACATTAGATCATCTTGTAATGAATATTTTTGTGATTACAAAGAAAACAAAAAATTATTTTCAAATTTCTACAATATATTACATACAGATACATTAAGAAATTTAATATTCTGTAACGAATAGGTATTATAAACTCATGCAATGTTACAAAATAATATTAGTTGTATCCAAGTGAAGGTATAGGAAGAAATTTTTAAAGAATTTTTCTTAGAGACTGATAGTATATTGAACAATCAATGATATTTATGTACAATCCACATTGCACACTCTAATTCTAGAAATAAGCATTCGAATTTTTGGGTCAACAAAGTCTGCAAATCTTGACCTGTGAGGTATCATGAATTCTTAAATTCTGTGACGTACCCTGAGAGTGTAGACCGACGAGCATCCCTGTCACCCTGAGCAAATGTTGAAGACGTTCCTGATGGTGCTGGACTGGGAAGGTCACTCACAGGTGTCCCAGCTTCATCCAAAAGAGTCAATTGAGACTGCCTCACAAACATGCCATAGTTTTCTGGGCACTGCAAATGTTAAATGTGTCTTATTAGAGCAAATTATTAAGAAAAAAGTTAGACTTTTCAGTAATAACACCAATACAATTTTAAAAAGTTCAACAAATCTGAACTTAAAATAACTTAATCAAAACAAAAGGTTATTAGATGTTTTCAAATCTACTGAGTTCATGATCATATATTTTGACAACATTTTGAGTACATCTCTCATAATTCTGCTGAAAGCATTACCGTATAGCGAGGGACCATTGTTTAATAAAATTATTAATGAAGTTGATAAATAATTGTTTTCTAATATAAAGCTTCAAAATGTAGAATACAAAATGTACAAACATACAACGTAATTTGCTTCCCATTTGGATTTTGACACCAATATCATGGACATAAATCAAACATTTTTAAAATTATAATCTGTCAATTTGTTTCTGAGAACTTGTGTATGTTTGTAAAATTAAAAATGATAATGGCACAGAAAATATTAACACATAAATCTAATAAACATTTTTTTTCAAAACTTATTCATATTCTTTGGCTAATTGTTCTCTCTAAATTATTTAAGAGCAAGTAATCATGGTATGGTGTGTGCTGCACATTACAGAAAGGTTGAAAGGGGTTGCAAAAATGAACATGTTCAGAAAACATGCACAAATTGTACTTTTCTGCTACATTACACAGAGTTTTTACTGCTCTTTGATAGAAATAAATCAAATCATTCCTTTAAAAATATTCAATGCTAGAGAAAGGTTTCCAATCCCTGGTGTAGAACAATCAACAACACAGTTTCTTCCTACCTGAAAATAAGTTTTTCCTTGTACAGTACCATTATTTTTTCCTTTGGGTTCATCGAGAATAACTCCAATCCATTTTCCGGCGGCAAACATTGTAGTTCCCACGTAAGCAACACATCCTTTGACATCCTTACCCGTCACTTCTACACGTTGCCCAAGTTTAAGAGATTTTTCTGCCATGGTTTCTTCGATTTTCAATTTCCCTAAAACTCTCTACAAAAGTGGCACATTACAATTAGAATTTCATGAACTACAGTGCTCTACTTTTGGCCGAAGTCTTAGTAAGACAAGTCGCTCAAAATCTCCATCAACCCCAAAAGAAATGACGGCACCAACACAACCCCAAACGTTTACCCTGCTAGATCACCGAACTACCCACACCATTCACTGTCACCACACCGTCACTGACCATCTGACGTCCACCTGCCGTCAGCTGTCACTGTTCGTGCGCTTGGTTTCGTCTGTTTAGACAATTGAAAAACGTCACGACCAGTGTTCCCAACAGATCTGACTTTACTCATCTGAAGCATCTCATTTACCAGAAATAAGAAGTTACTCATTTCAGAACACACGATCCCGTGTGTGGTAGAGGAGGGGGGTATTGTTGATCTACGTAATAAATAAACATTATATGACGAAGCGACATTGTATGACTTTCCCGTTATTTAGTTTGTCAGATGTAGCAGAAATGCTCGAAATGCTACACCTGCTGATGCGTACTGTCATGGATAGACGCGCGGTGCGATGAGAGGAAAATTATTCAAGAATATACACAGGTTTAGTGTTCTGTGTCATTTCTGTCATAATCTTCCGAGTTGAAGTATGCGGGAAATGGCCCGACTTTTCGCGACAGGAGAAAAAGTATTTGCAAAATTGCGAGGTTACCCTGCGTGGCCCGCTCGAGTCGAGGGCCTAGCAGACTCCAGCCCTAACAACATGAAATATCATGTTTTATTTTATGGAACAATGCAAAGGGGCATTTGTAAAAATCAAGAATTATTCCCGTATTTGGAGCACAAGGACAAATTCGGGAAGTTGTCAAGAGCTAAAGGTTTTAAAGAAGCATTAGATCAAATTGAAGGACTTGCCCCAGTACCAGAATTGGTTCCCAAAATTGTGGATGAGAAGTACAGGAATGGCTTTAATAATCAAACAAGCAAAACACTTCTAAACGAGAGTCATACAAGCAACAATATAGATGCTTCTACCTCTAAAAGAAATAAAATTTCAAAAAAGAAAGAGAATAAAAAAGCAGATATTCAATCATGTGCAGTAAATAATAGTAATGAAGTTCAAAATTATTCATCTAAACCTCCAAAAAAACGTATAAAACAAAATATAAGGAAATCATCAAACCAGAAGCAAAATTTTGAAACTAATAATAGTGTCTTTCCACCGAATACAGATAATAATGACAGGAGTGCAAATGGTCTTGAAATGCAAAGTGACAGTCGAGAACTTCCATTGAAAACCAAACAGAAACAGCAAAAGAATGCAGCAAGTTGTAAAGAGATCAAGTTATCTTCCAATCTGAATTGCTCACAGAAAGGCCATAAGCTTAACAAGCGTAGTGATATTTCTTCTGAGCCAGGTAGCAGCACTCAAGATTCTGATGAGCGGTTGCAATTATCTTTGCCAAGTAGATCTGTTAGTCGATCTGGTCGTGTTATCAAGAGAAAAGCGTTTCATGATGAGACTCAAGATGTAATTCCAAAGAGGAAGAAGGTTCAGGGCTCAAAAGAAAATGTATGTAGCCCATCGAGTCAACAAAATCAGAAACGTAGAATACAGAGTTGTCATGGTCAGAATATCCAGAGTCTATCCAGTCCACTATTACAAAAATTACCATTTTCAGGAGTCTGTCTCGAAATGCCAAAACAGAAGAAACAAACAGCACGACGCTGGTTAGCAACAGAAAATTGTATGACTAGATTGGACTCTCTTATCCGAGCCCAACTTGGCATGACCCGAGCAAATCCTGAGCAGTGCATTAATTTCCTAGAAGACATGGCTGAACTTGATCTAAAGCCTTTAATGCTCAAGAAGCATCCAGAAGTAGTGGAAACAATGAAGAGGCTGCGAAGGTATGTAGGAAATGCAGGAGCTTGGAATTTTACAGAAGAACAGAAGAAGGCTTTTGAAGAACTAGCTCTGCAAATCAGGCTAAAAGCAGAACACATATTTCAAAAATTTAAAGTCATGTTTTCAGTTCCTGAGAATTGCTCATTCTTAGAAGTATTTGCAGATAGCGTTGTTGAATTCCAAACAACAACACAACATTGGCCCTTGGCAAAAATTTATGCCCTTGTGGCAGAGCCCAAAATAAAAGTTACAAAGCGCTCGAAATCTTCCAATCTATCAAAATTGTCCAAATCACCTAAGCAGTCCAAATCGCTTCAACAAAAATCATCCAAAATTCAGGCCAAGAGTAGAAAACAACCTACAAAGTCCAAGGGACGCACCACCAAAAACACTAAGAGCACAAAGACAGTAACAAAGTAGCTCATGTTTGAAAGCAGTATAGTCTGACAGCTCTTTGTGGTACAGGAGAAATTTGTCCCAGGCAAAAAAGTTTTCATTGGGCATCTCCTAGAACATTTTGGAAGAATCATGCTTATATTTATTAAATGGAAATAGGTGTGATTTCTGTGTACCTGTGATAAATGTGGTGTTTTGTGTGACTCATGTCTTCATATTAAAATGAATGTGTTTAAACAGATGTATCTTTAACAAGTGACATATACAAGGCATTTGATTTCGAAAACAAGATTTCAGTATTTCCATGAAATAGTACTCATGCTCTACTGATTCTTTTCTGCACCAAGCTGAATTTCACTTGCAAAGGATACTCCCAAATCTTCTATTGAATTTTGAGTACAAGTTCACTTGGTCTTTGATTAATGTTTTTCACAACTATTTGTTGTGTGGAAAGATGAAAATTATTTTCCATTTGTCAGACAACACAACATAACTGAAATGAATTACATAGTTAATGGGACGGGGCAAGAGTGAAACCAAATCAGATGATGTTCAGTAGTATGGTGTGAGTCATTAAGTGCAGCTTATGGTATGGATGGTTGGTGTCAGAGAAAGATATGGTGCCGCACTGGGTGTTGGAAATGATGTGATATGATTGTTAACTGCTTAAAAAAAAGCTTGTGGAAAGAACTTTTAGCAACTCGGAGAATGTACACAGAATTTCTTAATCTGGTCATATCAGGTGTCGAGTTATTTAAGTGACTTGGTAAAGGAATGCCAATAGCTAAGACTGATTGCCGCTTTGTGTACCTTCCATCTTCTGCTATGGTTAATGTAATAGTCATCATTAGAATGTTTTGTCAGAAATATATACAAAATGTATATACAAGAGATATATGCAAGAGGAAATGTACAGTAAGGGTTAGATTTCAAAATATATTAAGTATGAATGTGAGGAAAGAAACGTGGAGATTTTGTTCAGTGATAATTTTCACTGGACTAAAAGTATCTGTTCTGAACAGAATTTTATTTTATATATTATTTTGTAATGAAACGAGACTGCTGACAAATATAATTATATAAAGAAAGCGAGAGAAAATAAGTTCTCTCCAATGGCTGTATAACTTTTCTAGCATTAGCTTCATGATCGACTAAAAGTTATAAATATATTGGTTTTTTTTTGTTTAATTCCTAGGCAGCCATGTTTAGTTTGAATTTTTGTCACTTTTTATTTATTTATGTTAGGTCACCTTTTAACAACTTAGTCATTAGTGACCCCAAATACAAATAATAAGGGGGTGTACAGAATTTTCAGTTAGTCATTTTCCCATTAGAATTACTGATATTGATTTGTTACATTTTATGCACCAAGAGTTGGCTAACTTGTTCTCAGATTGTTCTAAAGGGCAGAACCTTTCAGCTGTTATTTTTCTTGCTTTACATCATGTAATTAATTTTAAAATGGAGGTAGAGGATATTATTTGAAAAAAGTTGAATTATGAAGAACTATTATGAATTAAATTTGTTCAAAGAATTGGTTGCCCTGACTGGGATTCAAACCCGGGTCTTCTGGTTTACGCCCAGCTGCTCTAACCACTAAGCTACCAAGATAACCAATCCTTTGAACAGTTATCACTCCTTGTATAATTTAATAATTATAATGTAATTGTTACCTTCCAATGAAAGTGACAATTAAGAACTCAATGTTTTTGAAAAACGTACTATCTCTATATATTATTTCGTGAACTTAAAGGTGCCTAGTTCATTCATCCCCTTATGTTGTTTCTGACCTGTTTTATTATAATCTGAAGACCTTTTCTATTGCTCATCGAATTTGCTGGATTTGTTTGATATAAAATTGAATGGGAAGTTTTTAGAAATTCAAGCATTTTGAAGATCTTGTATATTCTCATTAACAAAAATTGAAGAAAAAGGAAAAAAAGATTGGAAAATAGAATTATCTTATGAAAACAGCCAATATTAAAAAAGAAAATCAATTGTCTATCTCATTCAGCTGGATGTTTTTAAGACCAACTAAATAGTCTGTTTTTGTCTCATTTTTTGCCTTGAAGATTTCAAAAGCTACGCCAAATATGGCTTGCAAAACTATGGATTGTCAACTCTTGGTCTGAAGAGGAACAAAAATCCAGTAATGTCAAAGCTTTCTTGAGTGGGCATGCGAAAAAAAAATAAAACTTTTAACGTAGAATTCAATATCTGTCTGTCTTAAAATTCTGTGCTGTTAATTTGTTTTTCTTTTCTTTCTTTGCGTTCAAAAATGTGTGTTTCTGGGAGTCAATCAAAGTGATAACACGTATAATATTTTTTAAAATTGCTATAGGAAATAAACATTTTTGGTGCCATACTTTTCAATAAGCTATATTTTTCACTAAAACATTTTAAACTGTTCTCATGAAAATATTATCTAAAGCTTATGCCCATCATAACATAATGATTCTTTTCTCTCATTTCATTGAAATTGCTGGAATAGATTTTTATGAATCAATCGAATACCTACTTTATGGGTAAAATACTTTGGAGGAAACATAATCTCACTCTAAACCATTTGATCTAAACAATATATATGTATTGTGATGTTCATTTCGATGTGGCATGACAAATGCCAGTGCAGCACTAGTAAGTTAGAAATAGTTAGACATTAACATGGGTGTACTAAATATTTTGTGTTAAAGTGTTCAGTGTCCTTCAAATTGTGGTCTGAGGCCAGGTACAGATTCAGAAAATTATTCCAAATCCAACTAGAATGTAATAGAAATTCTTTTAAATGCACAGTAAAGTTTAAACAATTTTTACTAAATGATGAAGAGTGAATAAAGGTATTACTTTGCTAAAATGAAATTTTACTTTGATGTGTACTTAATATTTGAATCAAGAAAATACATATACTTGCCTACTCCAGAGTTGTTTCTTAAATTATATTATCATCGTTATTCACTTATTATGATTTCTCTATTTGTTGCAATTCTCAGTTTTGTCAACAGTTAACTTTTTAGTAAGTCTCCACTATTGTGCAGGTACTTTTTAAGTTGTAGAGCAAGAATGACGTCTGATATAAAGGTAATTCAAATATTACTTCAATAAAGGTCATTTGTGATATTTTCCTGGGTGTCAATACTGTATAAATAAATCACAAAATTGTGTAGATCTCTGATAAAAGCTTAGTTTTCTAATGGGTAGAGAACTTTGCAACCCTGGCAGTTTCATGTTGGTAACTTGAAACCCAGCTCATATTACTTACTTACTTTTTTTTGAAAAAAATTGTTTTGTTTAATGTATTACATTGATGTTATAATGGAAAGTGAGTAATTCAATATACAGAGATCCCAAATATAATTTCACGGCAATACATTGTCCTCAGGCCTCAAAAGTTAAGAAGCGCTATTTTGAAGTATGACTGGAAGTATTTGTAAATTATTTGATGTCTGTTATGCAATTTCTGTGAAGCATGATATTGATGTGTGATACAAAATCTCAAGAGGTCAAAACTTCTTTGTTACATATTCAGTGTTCTTTAATAATTCCTGGAGTTACTTGGTTGCCACTTAATGTAAAAGTTAATGAAGTGGATCTGCTTTTACAAACAATATTCGTGATAAAATATGTTTCACATATATATTGAACTATTGAGATACAGTGTAAAAATAAAGTTTTTATATGAAATTAGGAAGTTACTCTTGCTTAAAAAAAAGAGAGAGAAGAAACGAAACAGAAGATTTTCTGAGTGCTCATGGAGGTTCGATATTACCTCACCTAATACCTAACTAATGAAAGGAGAATGTAAGTGAAGTTAAAGGGTGGGGGCAAAAGTTAGTACAGTTTTTTCTTTCCTTTCTTTCTAAAAGTTAAATGGTAATACCGTAATATGATCAATAGCTATCACGATATGTGGATGTATTGATTAGTTTAGATGATGCGATGTATTGGCATTAAATGAGGTCAATAATCAGTCAGTTGCATTGCAATTTGACTTGAAGTGCTGGTAATTGTACTCATCTGCCTCCAATAGTGCAAAGCTCAATCTCCAATCTCCCAATTCCCAAAATAGAAAAAATAAGCAGTTTGTGTCCCCAGGATAAATAACTTCATTCTGAAAGAGGAAATAGGAAAGTTGTTTCCAAAGAAAAACAATGCAAGAATCTGTTTGTGATTTTTCTTCATTTGAACACAAAATATGAAGATTTGGAGACACATTGACTAATATTTAATACAATTTTCCTTAAATGGTACAAGTACAGTAGCAATTTAAAGCTTGCAAATAGTTGCTTTGTTTTGTTTATTTTTTAATAAGTTTTCAGATGTGTCACTCCAGTTTAGGTACTAAAGAATGCCATAGGCACAAAACATGCAAGAAATTATAGATTGCAAAAATAACTTTGTAAAGTGGCAACCATGTACTTCCAAACATTTCTGTGCAAATATGAATCCTAAACCTATTACCTGTTATCAGTGTTGCTACTACAATTGTACTAGAACATATTCAGAACTAATGGTTCAGTCAACATTATTCTTAATTTCAATACTCCGTGAATTAGAGACACTCCAAGAAATAAAAAGTTGAAAGTTAAATGTCAGTTTTGACTTATTTGGAAATAATCCTTGGAACACCTGTCTGAATAATTTTATTTCATTAATTATTTATTGAAATGTATTTTGTAATAAATTATCAATAATATACATACATTATTATCAAATAACATGGAAATTACTAATTCCAAGTTACTTTGTGATATATATTGTACTACGTACTGTTCAAACCCATACTACTTTTTTTGAGGTTACATTAAGTTGGGTTTGAGATCACATTCTGTTGACCTATTATTATTTAAGTTCTTGACACTCCTTAGTTTGTTCATACCTTCATGGTTTCTGGAAGTATTGCAAGCAGACTGGATGAGTAAAAAATATTTCTATTCCCTTATTATTGTTTCTATTCATTCAAAGCTTTACACGTATCCTTCCTGTTTTATTTCTTGGTGTTGCTAATTCTTTATTGAGTATTTATA